GAGTCTCTGCCTGGTTGGTTGCTGGTAGCTTACTTCCTCTGAACTATATTTTTACTTGCTATTTTGAGGTCTTCCAGCACCTTGAGATAGCCAGAATACACTTACTGAGAGCAACAAACACTTATTTTGAGTGTTTATTATACACTAGTCACAGGACAACATCACACTGACTTTTCACAAGAATCCTGTGAACCAGGAACTATGATTATCTCCTCTTTATAGATGAGGAAACTGAAGCTCAGGGAGAAAATGTAACTTGGTCAGTGAGTAGCAGAGCTGGATTTGATCCCAGGACTGCTGACCCAGCACTGCAGAAAAACTTGTGCCATTAGACCAGGGATGCTGACCCCTAAGGGTGATTAGGACATTGACAAGTCAGTAGGTTCAGACTGGAAGCTGTGGCTTCTTTGGAACCAACTTCACTGCAGCCAGCCAACCCATCCTAGCTGTTGGAAGTCAGCAAGGGAGGGAGAACAGAACCAGCCCCTTCAGGATCAGCTCGGACCCTACCAAGTACTCTTTCTTCATTCTAGTCATCTTCCCTGGCCTCCACCCTTCCCATGGTTCTGCTCAAGACCGATATGAACTTAACTGCCATTACTTCTTCACCAGAGTCCTTTTCTCCAGCCCAAAGGCATGGCCTGAAAGGATCTCTCCATGAGCCAATAGGTTTGTATAGACTCTTGTTGGCAAGAGCTCCCTGTTGGCTCTACTTCAAAGCAGGGGCAGCCCGGCTCCTCCAGGTGTCAGAAACAGCTGGCATGTTAGCAGAAGGCCTCTGGCAGGAAGAGGTGTTGAGCTAACTGCCATTAACTGGGAAACAGTGCATGTGGACGACCTTGTCTCCAAGAGAGTCCTTCTTGAGCCCTCTGGGGGTCATGACAAGTTTGAGTTCAGGGTGAAGGAGACGTCTGTGGGATATAGGGTCTACAACCTGGGGTTTTGCCTGTGGCCAAAGGAAAAGACAGACCTGTAGCCTTCTGCCTGCCTATTCCCACAGTTCTACCAGGATTCCACTTCTAGATACCCAGAATTTTTATTAGTTTGGAGATGGACAATGCAGCATATGATGTTTTTAAAAGCACCTTTCTGTAAGTGTCTCAGACTTTTCTGTAGCCACCATCCTCTGAACAGCAAACTTTCCCAAGAGAACAGCGCTAAAAGGAAAAGCTATTGGTCTGTCCACCACTGGGATGACACTCTGTCAGAACCGGAAGAAGCTCTTTCATACTTTTGAAGAGTATGAGCCTCCAGCCTTCTGCTTGACTATTTCCAGTAACAAGAAGCCCACCCTTTCATAAAGCAGCCATAATCCCAGAACTGGGCAGCTTGAACAACTTTTGTAGAGCCAAACTCTAGATCCCTGTAACATCTCCCTCAGAGGCAGCCCTTCAAGAGTCCGGTCTCAGCCCTCACCTCCTCCTTAGTCTTCTCTTCCAAGCTAAAAGATTTAATGGAGCCATGTGTCTGATATCACGGTTTGTGGACTCTCTACCACTCTGAACCCCTATTCTAAGACTCTAGTTTATTCTCTTAAATGGACTTTCAAGAGCTGGCCAGGGAAAAAGAAAAGAGTACTGTGGCTTCTCTTATTCATTTGTTCATATTTTCCTTCATTCCACAAATATTTATTCGGTGCCTACCATGTGGATCCTGCACCATGCTGCAACCTGGAATCAAGCAACAAACAGAAGGACAGAGATGTCACCAGGTGGATCTTATAGTCCTGGGACAAAAACAGACATGAACCGTGTCAGGAGGTTGCAAAGAACTGTGGAAGCCAGTAGCAGGGAGGCCTATCCTAGCCTGCAGGGGTAGGCTTCCCAAATAAGTGCTGTGTAGGCTGCAACTTGAAGACTGAGCAGGTGTCAGGTAGGTGAGGAGAGGGGCATGAAGGGTGAGGAGCTCTGGGAAGAGTGAAAGATCAGTGTGGTTGGCATGTCGTGAGGGAAGCAGCCTGTGGCCTCAGTGAGTCCAGAGAGGAGCAGGGAAGCAGAGGGTGGGCTTATAAATCAGGATGAGGTTAGGGAATCATGTTTTAAGGTCAGTGGGAAGCCAGTGAAAGGTTTTAAACAGAGTTGTAAAATGGTCAAATTCACATTTTAAAAAAGAACTTTCTGACTACAGTATGGATACTCAATTTGAAGGAGGCAAGAATGGTCACAGGAAACCAGGAAGGTCACCCAGTTGTCCAAGAAAAAAAGGTGGAGGTGGGCATCATATGGTGGCTCTGGAAGTGGAAAGAAGTAAATGGATTCAAGAAAAATGTCAGGGATAGGATTGCTAGGACTTGGTGATTGACTGCTGTGGGACGGGCAAGGAGGACCCACCCTCTGAATGAGCAGAGTATAGTGGTGGTGTTGCTGTCGATGAAAGCTGAGATCCAGTTGGCTTTTTTGGCAGTCCATCTCACTGCTTATAATCAAGAAAACCTTTCAGTCCTTTGTAACATGCTGCTGGGATCCAGCCACATGTCCTCCAGAAAGAGGTTCCCTGCCACGGTAAGCTTCAGCCCACCAAGGAGCAGGGGTAAAGACCAGAGCACAGTCAGACTGCCCTGCCCCCACAGAGACTGACACACTCACACTGGTGGGTCTCCTGCCCTCCAACAATGTCTGTGCTCTTATTCTTCCCCAACTGCCCATCTTAAAAGAGTGTTCTAATGTTCACACTCTGTTATGGCCCCTGAAAGCTGTGGACCATTTCTGAAGCTGGAAGGGCAACTTTTGCAGCTTCTAGTCCTGTCTGTGGCAGAGAGAGAAAGATGCTTATGGCAGCTGGTTTTAAAGCCCTGGCTTGGAGGCATGCTGATTAGCAAGAATTACAACTTCTGGAATTAGGCAGTGGTGATGGTTGCACAACTTTGTAAATATACTAAAAAATGCTGTCCACTTTTAAAGAGTAAATTTAATAGTATTTGAATTTTGTCACAACCTAAACAATGAATAGATAAAGAAATAGTAAATGGAGATAACACGGGCACTGGGTCCAGGCTGATGATAAACAAGAGAACCCCAGTAACATCCTCAAAAACTTTGGCTCCCCTTCATGGTTTCCTGCTGGGGGATGTTCTCAGTCCTGTGCTCTCCCATAGTAATTAACTTCAGGCTACTCGGGTTCTTAGCTGTCCTAGGAGTAGGAGAGAAAGGTCACAGACTTCACTCCTCTGGAGCCTTTTCTTTTGTTGCCGAGGCTGGGATGGCAACACTTTGAGGTGCCGCTCTGAGAGAGCTCGCTCTTTATCTGTAGTTTGGGTGTCTTTAGTAACCCTGTGGTTAAACACAGCAAGCAGGGCCATTCCCCCTACCTGCCCTCTCTCTGCCCTCCATCGCCTCTCCCTCCACATCCAAGTGTCAGAATCTAGGCTTTGTGCCCTCGCTTTCTTTTTGCCTGCCTGAGTTCTCCTTAGGTTATGAGAAATGGGGGTAACAACTTGGCCTGGGGCGCATCCCTTAAGTCTCCAGAGACACTGATGGAGGGATCAGCGCGCCCTCCTGTGGTCATCAATAGCATTGCTTCTCACCATCTGGCCTTGAATTTTTTTCTAGCTGAAATTTTAATGTTCAACTCTGCTAGTTAGAGCAACGTTTTCTTCCCCAAGGGTTACATGAGAAATCGTTAAGGCTTTAAGATATAGATGAAGAGAAAGAAGATAAATTAGCCACAACAGATAAGAAATAAAATCTTAGTGTTTATGGTATTTATTTTAAACAAGACAGTGTGACCTAATGGAAAGTACATGGCCTGTAGAGACAAGCAAACTAATCAGCTGTGTGATCTCGGCAAGTTGACTTTTCTGAGACATAGTCCCTTCACCTGTAAAATGGAAATAATAAGACCTACTTCATAGGATTGTTGTGAGATAAAATTTAATTAATATAAGTTAAATACCTTTTACAGTGTACGCCATGAAGTAGGTACTCCGTCTTCAGGGAAATCTGAAACCAGGGTCAGCTGCCTTGCATAATTCCACTCACATCACACGTACCACCCCCAGAGGTGAGCAGTGTTGATACTCTCTGGGGCTGATCCAGTTGCCAGTTTGGGGCTCCTCTGACACGGGGAGCTGGAGAGAGATTTAGAAAAACACATGAGAGAGCAAAATAAAACTTTTTTTTAAAAAAAGGAAAGATAAAGCCAGAAGGACCCAGCTCCCCTCCAGTAAATGTTTGGCACCCTGCCTGGCACCTGGATTGAGCCCAGCAGTGCTAATTTCCTTCCCTTCCTGTCCTCTCAGAAGAGGTCTTGAGCAGAGTATGAACTTGGCCTTGGTCTGATCATTTAGAAGTGAAATAGCTTTCTTTCTGTGAGGTGGATGCACAAGGGAAGGACTAGAGAGAGGAAACACCAGGAGATGGTCAACAAGGACAACAGGAGAAGCAGTGGCCACCACAGAGTCAGAAAGAAGGTGTGTGCTTTGGCCCTGCCAGTGCGGACTCCCCAGCTCCTAACCCTCCTCCCTGGTCTGCCATCACTGTCCCACAGTGAAAGTCCCTGTAGCTGTTCTGGCCCTTGGTAGCTTATTAAATCTCAATACCACTTGCCAAGAGCCCTTTAAAGTTCTTGGCTGTTCTTTTTGCCTTTTCTGATCAGCTGTATTTATTCTGAACTAAATGGTCCTGCATGATGAAAGGATTTACTGCTTAATTATATGAAAAGAAATCTTGGCTGCATTACAATTGTACCCTCTCCTTGCTACCTCCTCCCCACTTCTCCCTCCTCATGCTCCCTCCACTAGCTGGTGCCACAGAGACCGAACTGCGAGCCTGCCCTTGGTAGTGTGGTCAGTTCAGTTTGATTGTGGAACACGGTTGATGGAGAATTGAGGTGACTGGAAGGAACTTGTTTTGGGGAGCCCTCTCCCAAAAGTCTTAATGCCCCTAGGGAGACTGGAGTTCCAGGAGCAGCTCTCGCTCTCTCTTTCTCTCTCTCTGTCTCTCTTTCACACACACATGCGTGCACACACACACACACACACATTTTCTCTCTTTCCCCCTCAGGATTGTGCTCATGGATGATGCCATGGACTGCTTGATGTCTTTTTCAGATTTCCTTTTTGCATTCCAGATCCAGTTTTACTACTCAGGTGAGAATCTTCCAGGACCCCATGTGGCTCCAGGACCACATTGCCCTTTCCATCTGTATGCCCGGCACGCACATTTCTCTCCCCTAACTTCCTCTGGTGGAGTGCTTCACCGTGGGTCACAAGAGGAGGTCTGATTCTCCCTAGCAGTCAGATTCAATCTGCAGAGCTTACTCCCTCTGCCTCCTCAAGACATAGAATGCCACAGTGCTTCCAGTCAGCAGTACAATACATCAGTTTAAGTGATAATGCCAATAACAATAACAATACACACTATTGTAACAATACATAATAAATTCATGACTTACCAAAAACTTACTGTGCTTCAGGAATGGCACTAAGGACTTTAATCTTTACAACAAGCCTAAGAGATAGGTCCTTTAAGAGATAAGCTTACAGAGTTAAGTAGCCGAAGTCACAGAGCTAATAAGTGGTGGAGCCCACACTTGAGCAGAGGGTTCACCAAAGCCAGCTCTCTTAGCCACTCTGCAGTATCAGAGGTCTTTTCCTGGCCCTGATTCACATGTTTGGGCACACATCCTCCCACCCGCACAGCTTTTATAGGCACACACCAGTCCTATCTTACACTCCCACCCTGTTCTCCAAGACCCACCAGCCACATCCTTAAATCCTTTCTGGAATCAGGTAGAATAAAAATAGATGAATAAATACAAATGCCCACCAGCTCACACACAGCAACATCAACTGGAATGTTGGGTTTAGAAATTGCTGGCTAAGTCCATAAATAAACTTGTTTAAAATGGGCCCTTCCAATAAACAGAAGGCTGTCCTTGGAGCCTGGACATGGCCTTCCTGCCAACTGGTGGCCCCAGCCAGCCCCGGACTCACTCAGGCACCACATTCTGTTTTCTTGATGGCAGCCCCAGGGCCTGCTCAGGCAGGGGCTGGAGCCTGGGGTCTTGCCACCTGCTCTTTGCAGCCCCTGACACTCCTCCAGAGCAGCTCCAGGAAATCCTGGGTTCTACAGAAAGAGCAGCCATGTTTGGGAGAGCCTTTTCCCCTCACTGCCTCCCCGAGCCCTCTTCTCACAACACTCTCAGGATCGGCCAACAGTGTTGGGCCCTGAGCACCACTACCACACAGCTGTGTGTCTCAGTCAGCAGTGAGACAGACCATTAGTCACTGCTTACTAACAATGGCTCAACTACTAAAATTTGAAAACAATTCCAAATGTTTAATACATTAGCAGCTTGCAAGCTTTCTCTTCCACACTGGTATTACAACATGTTTTATTGAGTCAGAGTTAGGCAGGTGGCCTCACAAGATGTGGCTTACCAACAAGAGCATGCACATATTCACTCTTTTAAAAAATATTTATAGATTTAATATGTGCCAAGCACAGTGGTAGGCTGGGGCAGGAAAGTTGACAAAGCATGATCCCTGCCTTTGTGCAAGGATTTTCATCCCAGCAGAGAGTGACAGAGTAAACAAATAATTTCTCAGAAAACTCATTGTTGTATAAATGCTACAAAGAAATCTGTATTTTGTATGTAATAGGGGATCTCACCTGGTCTAGGAACAACCAGGGGACATATAAGCTGAAATACTTATTAACATCATAATTTATGCATGTGGTAGTCACACAAGGCTGAAGACTCCTGCTCCCAGGATACCATTCACTGAGCTCTGAGGTTGGTGAGCTGAGCTAACAGAGGGGAGGACACAGAGAGGGGACAAAGTATGTCCTCACTGCCTGACCTGTACCCCCTCCACCATGGTTCCCAGAATTCCTGGAGAGTGTGGCTGCCATCTATCAAGACCTGCTGTCAGGCAAGAGCCCCAATACGGTGATTGTGCCAACGTCATCCAGTGGGCAACACCGCCAGCGGCCTCCCTTGAGTGAGGCTAGCATGCTGGAGGGAGTGGAGGCATCACTATTCTTCCAGTGCCTGGAGAACTTGTGTGACCGGCACAAGTACAGGTGAGGCATGGGCATGCAGACCCCACCTCAGTCCCAGGGATTGTAGGCTCTGTCTCAGGAACAGATGTCTAGAAGGAAGCTGTGATTGGTCCAGGGCTTCCAAGGCCCTTGATGGTCACAGAATAAATTAGAGCAATGCTATTTGCCCCCAGACCAGGCTATTGACTGAAAGGGTTCCCGGGTGGCTCACTTAGAGAGGATTGCTCTCACTTGGGCAAGAACACTGTAGATGACCAGCTTGACCCCCTTCTCCTTGCCAGGAGATAAATTGGCCTTAACTTTTTAGAGACAAGGAAAAAGCATTCACTGTACAAAAAATTCACTCTAAAGAAGGGGAGGGTTAAACTGTCCTGTGTGGCACAAAATCCCCCCTAGGGGAGAGCAGCCAATTTTGGTCTCCTCCAAGAGAAGGTTGTCACTATTGCCATTTCCCCATCTCCTCCTTCCTGCTTCCCCCTAGTGAAAGCATGAGTTAGTGGACATGTCAGCTTTTTCTGCCCATAGTCAAGGCCTTGCTCCTGGAGATCTGCTATGCTCCCCCACATCTTAGGGTCCCTGGGGCAGTAGGTTCCTCCTCAGTCTTGGCTTTGGACATACTCTTAAGTCTGAAAGTATGAACAAAAAGATGGCATTGCAGACTTTGAATCTGACATCTGTTTTCTCCCTTCCAGCTGTCCACCCTTAGCACTTGTCAAAGAAGTACTGAGCAACGTTCAGAGACTTACCTTCTATGGATTCCTTGTGTCTCTCTCGAAACACCATGGTATCAACCAAGCCCTAGGTAAGCCAGAACTAGCTGTGGCCATCCTCTTCTGCCCCTACAATGCAAAGCCATATAGGAGCTGACCTCCATTGGCAGACAGTCCTATGGGAGAGAGGGCATCACCATCTCTGCCTTGACTTCTCAGGGCCAAACTGAGCCTACGGAGTCGGAATATGTACAACACAAGATTATGCCCTCTTAGGCTTCTTACACTACCATGTTAGGGGACAGCCTTCCCCTCCCAAGGCCCTGCCCCAACATGAGGCAGCCTCTGTGGCAGAGGCATGCCCAGAATCCCCAGTTCTGCTTTGGGGAGTGGCCTGCAGGTTGGGCAGGCACAGGACTATTTACTCAGTGGGTCTAGAGATTATATATCAAAAAGACCTGAATCCCATTTGTAAGCAGGGCAAAGGAGTGTCTGCAGGTCTTTTTTCCCAGCTGGAAAAAAATCTGATTAATCTGAAAGGGAGCAAAAAAAGGGGGAAGAGGTTCCACTGACCCATTTTTTTCCTGTCACTGCTTTATTCACACTGGTTGGCCTCCTCCACCCACCCTCCTCTTACTCCTCCCGCACTCACTGCTCTCCTAGGGGAAGAGCCTCCAGGCCACCATCTATTGGAGTTGACAGGCTCTTATTTGTCTCTCTCTTTAAGAGATAGCCAGGTGTGTTTGGGATCCCAGTTCCCTGAGTCTCAAAGAAGAGACACACAGCATTCCCTTATTTTGCCAGCTGAGGGAATAGGGTCAAAGGAAGGAAATTTAACATTCTTTGAATGCCTGCCACAGTACACCAAGTACTGGGCTAGATAATTTGGATCTTACATGATACAGCGCCTGCCAGGGATGCTCTGGGGTACACAGGAGCACAAACTGCAGCAGGACCAACTGAGAGCTCTCTCAGGCATGATGCCACCTGGCAGCCTAATTCTGAACTGATGCTTGGGGCAGGCACAGATCTGAGGACCTGCCAACTAAGTGAATGATGTTGGTAGCCAAGGTCACTGGCTGGATGAGGAGTAGAAAGGAGGCAAATCGGAGTCAGAAGTCAAGTGTAAGGGGGTAGTGAGGGAGGATTTGCTTGGGTTTTTTTGTTTTTTCACACTCCTAGGTAACTTACTGCCCTTCCTTCCTTTCCACCCACCAGCTGCTAGGAAGGAAAAGGGAAAACTAACTAGCATCTGGTTCACAGCCTGGACTAACCTCATGCCCTCACTTTTTCTAAGGCCTTTAAAAACAATCAGTCAACCAGTTTTACGGAACACGAATCTAGGTTGAGTGGGCGATGGACAGAAGCATATGGTCTCTGTCCTGACCTGCATCTTCAGTGTATGAAATAGAGATCTGGAGATACCCTGGGTGCAGCCAGTTGTCAGGCAGTTGTGGAGTGGTTGTCCTGTTCCCTTAGTCCTCAAGGCACCCCCACACATATAAAATGAGAGGGTTCCGTGGGACATCATTTGAGAACCACCAACTTAGAGCAAAAGGGACCAAGAGCCATCATTTGCGAGAGCTTTGAAGTCAGAAATTGACCTAGAGCTGGATGGGTAATTTTAAGATTGAAACGTTCAAAGACCAGCACTGTTAACTACCAAATCTAGGTTCTGACCACCACTGAGCTTTTTTCTCTCAACAATTTGCTGGTGAGAATCTTTCTATCTATAAATTTCAACTTCACCTTCCCTCCCACTGTTAACAGCACCAGGAAAATCCAAAACTCTCACCTTTCCCCAAAATCAAGGAATTACTTCCCTTAGTTTAAAGCTGAGGAAACCAGCTCAGAAAGATTTGTGGCAGAGCAGAGATGGGATGGCTCCCCTACTGGCAGCTTCTGGCTGTGCAAGAGTTTGGTCTGATCCTTAACCAACCTTCTCATTTCAACTGAAACCCTCCCTCGAGGAGCTGAGACAGCATTTTTGACCACCTGTCCAAAGTGGGGTAAACCCTGATTTAGGGGCACAAAACTAGGTAATTTCTGGTCTTTGGGGTTAGCTTGACCATATCATGCATCTCTGGTTCCTTTTCAGCCCAGGTTCTGGGGCCCCAAGAAAGGACTAAACCCCCAGCACCTGGTCGCCAGGTCACAAACCACCATCCAGTCTTGGATGGGAGTTGCCTTGTTTGTGCAGTGACCTTGAGGTTTGGGGACCTTGAGGTCACATACCTAGGGTTTCTGCCCCAAGTCAGAGAGGGTCGGCAATGGGGCTCACTGAATTTATCCAGTTCCCAAGACTTCCTGCCCCCATAGCAGTCCTCTTAAACTTCTTTTAGGAACTCTTCCCCAAATCTGTTAGATCAGCCCTACCAGGGTCAACCCCATAAGACATGGAGGGACATGGAGGCATCTGCTAGGAATGGGGCTGTCTGGTTGGAGCCTGGCTGATGGACCTCAGATTAAATTTTGTGCCCCCCAATTCTCTCTTAGGAGCTTTGCCTGACAAAGGGAACCTGATGCATGACCCAGCCATGGATGAGGAGCTGGAACGGCTGTAAGTGTCAGGTGGGAAATGTCAGGCTGCCCCCTTGTGGGGCCAAGCCTGTCAGACATGGTAATGCCCTATCCTGGGTCACAGAGCACTTGTCCCAACACCCCCCACCAAAGGTCAGGGAAGGTTTTGGGGGATCAACAGAGGCCCGAGGTGTCCCCTCTTTGTGTCCTTGGGAATAGTCCATGGTTTCATCCAAATGCAAGAGTGAATGTGGAGGTCCTGGTCTCTGGACCACAGGCACCTCGCTGCCCTCTGGGCATCTTCCCTTCTTCAGGCTGGCCCAGATCCCAGGCCCAGGCAACTCAGTCACTGCCAGTTCAGAGGCCAGCTGCCTGCCTTCCCGGACTCCTCTCCGGGTTGGCTCTCCCTGGAGACCCCTCCATCATGCCCGCAAAGCGGATGCGGAGAGTGATGGTTCTGCTGAAGAGACAGATGAGTCTGAGACTTGAGTCTGAAGGGTCCTGTCTCTGAGCCCCTGGGACTCCCAGCCAACCTCCTCTCCCATGCCCATGCCATGCTGCCCTCTGCTGGTGGAAAAGCCAATTAACGGCCCAAGCGCAAAAGACCTGCCAGAGGGGTCCCAGTTCTCAGCCAAGCCAAGCAATGACTGTAAAAAGATAACAGCCTGCTCTCCCTGGCCTGTTGCGCTTTAGTCAGGGCCCAAATTGACAGCAGATTGAGCTGAGGCCACCAGGAAAGTCACTTGACCTTGGCCTTTTGGTGACAGTCCCTACATTATCATCATCTCACAGCAACTCCAGGGAGATACCATGAATAACCATGCAGAGCCTTGCATAGTCAAGAGTGATACCAGTGACGCAATTATTAGGATATAATGATAGTGGCCTTCTGCTGGAGTGACCACTAGCCATAAAAGGATGAAGGGTAGGCAAGAAGGTAATTTCACTTTCAAAAACTGCTTCAACTCTCCTGTGTCTTAAATATGTGAAATGAATAAAGTCCCTTGTGTCTGGTAAGTGGTGAGTCTAAAGCCACTAGACTAAGGAGGGGATGAAGGGAAGGGGCAAGTTTGGGTTTTTGATATGGAGTCCCAGATTTCTTGGCTGGACTGGGAAGTGGGGGACAGAGGGCACTCAAGCCTGGAGAGCTGCCTCAGGGAATGAGCAAAAAGGGGGTTAACCTCCTGCCCTTGACAGCAGCCTTTCAAAGGAAAGATGTTTACAACTGGATTGGGCCTTCAGGAAACAAGCTCAGAGGGTTCAAGGCCAGGTTCCCCTAGCTTTAAAAACCCTGGCCATAAAGGGTTAGCCCTGAAACCTTCTAACCAAAGTTTCATTAAACATTTGCCAACCACCAGCTCAGTGACGGCAGTAGGACTGCAGCTGTTAAGACAGTACTGAGAGACACAAGTTTCCAGCTAAGACTGGAGGAAAGTCAAGATACATGGTTTCCAACATCCTTGAATTGGATGGGGGTTGTCCTGAAAGCAAAACCCACCCAGGAATCTGAGCAGAACAGACCAGGAGTCACCACCACTGGACACATATTTTCCTGGGCTCATCCCTGCCCAGACCAGCCCCCTAGATGGTTACAGGACTGGCTTCCAAAGCCCTGCATTGCCAGGCCAGGACTGGAACTTCCAGGCCACATAGTTAGCATTCCCAGCCCACAATCATCTCCAGGCTCCATCACTGATTGTAGTATGTTTGAAAAATCCTGATGTGCATCAGAATCACTTGGGAGTTTGGTTGCAGTGCAAGATGCCAAGCTTCAGCTTAGGGGGTGCACAGAAATTGGTTCCCTAACTTTAAGGACTCCAGGTAATTCCAAAGCTGCAGATCCCCACTTTGGAAATCAATGGCTTCGAGCCCCATGGCTCCCACCCTTTCTAATCATTCATCTCCCAGAGCAGTGGTTTACGACTGTACCTTTCAGACCCCTCAGGTAGCATAGATGTTCCAGGAGCCCCCAGGGAGAAAGAGTTGCCAAGCCAGGGGTATACACACACACACAAAATCCTTTCTTCTTGGATTTCAAAGGGTTCCATTAAGGCCTTTATATTTTTAAACTCCACTGAGAAACACACCCCTGCTCACCTGTCCACACCCATATAGCTCAGTGAATGAATTAAAAGGCCAACTAATACCAGCTCTTTCCTCCACATGCAACAGAGTGGTGGGGTCAAGGCTGCATCAGACCTCGCAGCAGAACAGGGCCAAGGAGCCAGGGGCCTTTGGCTTTCAGAGAAGAGACAAACTGGAAGCCCTGGAGAGAGTGCCCTCAGCTTCAGCACCAACACCCCACCCATATCGGTGGGAGCCCAGAGAGTGAGGCAAGGGTTCTGCCCTGGGCAGGGAGGTAGGATCCAGAGAGGGCACTACTTCACTCAGACCAACCACAGCCCAGGGCCCCACCAGGGCTTTATTTCACACCACTTTGTTGTAACACAAATAGTTCAGAAACAAAGTCAAGTCCCTTTGGGGGAGGGAGTGGGACAGAGTGGTCTGTGTTGCTTGGGAGCCCAAGCCTCAAACCACAGGGGTAGAGGGGGCCCAGACTGCCAGCAGGGCAGGCGATGATGGCGCTAAGGATAACACAGTGATCCCCTGCAGGCAAGGGGTTAGGCCTGCAGCTGTGTAGGTACCCCAGGCTCTCACTAGGGTGTGGTGCTGTCCAGGCTCCCTTATGACCAGGATGATGCAGAGGAAGGTTGAGCTGCAGGAGCCTGCAACTGTCCCTCATGCCCTCTGCTTCCTTGGCCAGCATTATGCTCACAGCATCCAGAGCACAGCACAGGGCAGATAAGACCCATCACAGCTACCAAGCAGGGGAGGAAGGGACAGTCTCAGGAGAGGACAGACAGAAGGTCCTGTGGCCTGCAATGCGGGGTTTGGAAGGACACCCAGACACACCAGAGGAAAGTAATCCTCCAAGTGATCACTGCAGAAAGGGGGCCATGAGACAGGAGATGATCACTCAGGCCTCCAGTCTGATCCCAAAGGAAACCTTCAGGTACCAGGTGAAGTTTCTAGCCCTTAGTGTGACCCAGATGAAGGTCTTACCCCAACCCTGCCCTCTCCTGGCACCCAGAAGAGGCCACTGGAGCAGCCTTAGCCTCCCTCCCCTATAGCAGAAATCAGTTTTTAGACCTTCCCACTGGTTCCAGAGGCTGGTGACACAACCCCCGGGTGGCCTGGAAGGATCCTGGAGCCGGCACAGAAGCCTTCCCCTTTTCACTTTCCCTACTCAGGGACAGGCTGGATGGACCCAGAACAAACCATCCTGAAGGAACTGCCTCCCCTCACTCCCAGTGTGGCAGGACAAGTGAGCAGGAGCTTTGGGGGCAGGACTGGAAGGACAATGATCTAACACAGGGGAGGAGGATGTGATCAGAGGAGAATAAAGGGCTCAGTCTACAGGCAGAGGTCAAGGACTGGTACAGGCCCATCCCCTCATCCTAGATCCTCAAAGTCCACCCCACTCACACACCACACACATAAAGTAACAACTCCCCCCAGCTCCCACAAGGCAAGCATCCCGGGGTCAGAATCGGGGGTTTTTTGCAGCTGTCAACACCCGATGCTTGCGCCACAGAGCCTGCATCAGTAGGAACCATAGCGATCCTAGGGACAAAGGAAGAAAAAACAAAGTCAGTGTGTAACCTGCGGCTGCTTCCCAGCACACACACCCTCCCCCAACACCACCTGCAGGACTAGGGTACTCGGCAGGGGGGTGCCAATCTCACCATGACAGACTTATATTTTATTGCGACCCAGGAGAGAAGTTGTGGCCAAAACCCAAGGGGGAAGTCCGGTGTGATCTCACAGAAGGTGGGGAGGGAGGAGAGTGGTACAGGTGGAAAACTTGGAGAAGATCAGTAAAGACATGGCATCATCTAAAGGAGAGGCCCAGCCTGCTACTAGCTCAAAGAAAGGAAGCTGCCCCTCCAGGAAAAGAAAATGCTCTCTTAAGGGTTGAGGGGCTACCCAGCAGCAGTGTCCAGGTGCAGTGGAGAAGGCCAACCTCTACACACCCCTCTTTAGGCCCCTCCTACCCCAGGTCAAACAGCTCTAGCCTCACCTGCAAAGAATTCATCACACCATTGGCCAGCACAGCCATCTTCCCGGCCACAGACTTGACACCCTGCTTAAACTGGGCAATGTCAGCTGTAGGTAGCACATTCCCCAGATATACACTACCTGTAAAAGCAAGGAAAAGGGTGATCTAGAGCCCTGCAGGAAGCCCTTCCCAGCCCACAGGGCTCTCCAGCTATGCTCACAGCCCTCACTTGGTGCCTATACTATACCACCGGGGCCCTTACCTGCTCTATGAGCTCCATCCATGTCGCCAAAGAGATCTGAAGAGCTGATGGCACTACTGCCTGAGAGCTGCTGTAGCCGATATCTGGCTTCATACTGTGATGAAAAAAAGGCAAGGCCTGGGTAACGTTTGGCTGATGACCCAAGAACTCATATAGGCCAAGACACCCTGGTGCTAAAGCCCAAAGCAGTGGCAGGAAGGAAGCTCTTATTTCTACCTGCTGCCTCCAGGCTCAGGATAGAAAATTACTTACCCCAGTATCCACCTCCCGTCCAAAGAACATATCAGATGAGATGGCTTTGGCTCCTGCAAATTTCTGACATGCTTCACTGGACTCGAGGCCAGAGCTCCGGCTTTCCACTTCCCTCCAGTTTGTGACTCTGAGGAGTGGATATGAGACACCTCTGACCCTTTCCGTTACTATGAGAATATAGCATTACTGTCATATTAATATTCCATTACTATCAGAGGCCAAAAAAAGCACCTCTGGCCTTCTGGGGATGCTTATCAATGCCCTACCTGGCTGGAGCTCTGAGACTCATCAGCCACCTCCCCTGGGTGAGCCCCTCACTTATCCACATTGAAACCAAGGCACAGAGAGCTCATGTCATCTCCACTAGGGAGTGTGAAAATTTAAGGTTTGGAAGGGCCTAGGCTTCTGGCCCAAACTACTGCAGCTCCATCAAGGTCCAAGACAACATAATGTCACTACTGTTGCTCTGCTCTTAGTCACAGCTGGCTTATCACTAGGGTGACCACATGTCTTGGTTTGCCTGGGTTTATACCTCCTCTTTTACTCTAAAAAGCATTCCAGTGTGAGTAAAAAGGTGTATGGTTACTCCTACCCGGCAATGATATGCAGAGACACTGGGCTGTTTTATTTCACTCCTTCCGGTGGCTCTGTGAAGTCATTACTTATGTCCCCATTTTAAAATGGATTATTGATAGATAATTTATCAAACACTACCCAAGTTAACATGGAATAAGCTTTTTTAAAAATGAGTAAGATGGCTGCCAGAGACATATAATCCTTGAAGGGTCAGGACTGAAGCCCAAAATCAGGCCCCTCCTGCCAAAGAAACAGACTTTAAGTAGAGGTGGTTACTAGGCCTTCTGTGATGATAAAGCACAGGTCAAACCAAAGCCTGATTTCTGCAGTGTCTAACCAACTAGCCACCAGTTAGATGTGGCTATTTAAATTCATTAAATTAGAATTTCAGCTCTTCAGTTGCATTAGCCACATTTTAAGGGCTCAGTAGCCATATATTTAGTGGCTACTATACCAGACACCAGACTCTGCAGATACAGAACATTTCCATCATCACAAAAAGTTCTACCAGACAATGCTGCCCTCATCCATGCCACCTTTCTGATACAGGTCGGATGCTTGAGATGGTCACTTCTGGTTCCTTCTCCTCCATCCTGTCCACACCCCAGGTGGCATCTGCATCCCAGTGGGAACCAAAGCTTTCCCCCAGGGAAAAGGGGTTGTCCTTGTACCTAGGGTACAAGGGGAAAAGGGAAACAGAGTGGCTCAGAAAGGCTGATGAGGAAAATGGTGGACAAGTCTTTGACCCAACAACAATCTTACTTTGGGGGTCCAGAGGCAAAAGTACCAACATCTTCAAACAAGTCCAGCTGTGAGCGGGAAGATTTTGCACTCACTGGGGTTTCCTGCTCAATCACCTGCATCTCAGACAGAACGGAGTGGGAGACCGAGCTGTGAAGAAAAGCAGAGCCAGGGAATGAGAGCAGTGATGAACATTAGTGTCACCACAAAAGAGAAGATGCACAGCTGCTGGCATAAACTGGGTTCTCCTTCACCAGGCACCAACCTCCCAGAGCTCCTTCCCTCAACCTGTGCACAGGGCCAGGCCACTCAGCAGGAGTGCTGGGAACTGGCTGAACTGGAGAGCACACCTTCAGCTGTCACACATCATCCTTTTTTTTCCTCAAAAGTAGGCTTTCCCTGGCAAATGACTGTTTGCCTGTTTTAATTTTAATAATAATGTACACNAGTCGGAATATGTACAACACAAGATTATGCCCTCTTAGGCTTCTTACACTACCATGTTAGGGGACAGCCTTCCCCTCCCAAGGCCCTGCCCCAACATGAGGCAGCCTCTGTGGCAGAGGCATGCCCAGAATCCCCAGTTCTGCTTTGGGGAGTGGCCTGCAGGTTGGGCAGGCACAGGACTATTTACTCAGTGGGTCTAGAGATTATATATCAAAAAGACCTGAATCCCATTTGTAAGCAGGGCAAAGGAGTGTCTGCAGGTCTTTTTTCCCAGCTGGAAAAAAATCTGATTAATCTGAAAGGGAGCAAAAAAAGGGGGAAGAGGTTCCACTGACCCATTTTTTTCCTGTCACTGCTTTATTCACACTGGTTGGCCTCCTCCACCCACCCTCCTCTTACTCCTCCCGCACTCACTGCTCTCCTAGGGGAAGAGCCTCCAGGCCACCATCTATTGGAGTTGACAGGCTCTTATTTGTCTCTCTCTTTAAGAGATAGCCAGGTGTGTTTGGGATCCCAGTTCCCTGAGTCTCAAAGAAGAGACACACAGCATTCCCTTATTTTGCCAGCTGAGGGAATAGGGTCAAAGGAAGGAAATTTAACATTCTTTGAATGCCTGCCACAGTACACCAAGTACTGGGCTAGATAATTTGGATCTTACATGATACAGCGCCTGCCAGGGATGCTCTGGGGTACACAGGAGCACAAACTGCAGCAGGACCAACTGAGAGCTCTCTCAGGCATGATGCCACCTGGCAGCCTAATTCTGAACTGATGCTTGGGGCAGGCACAGATCTGAGGACCTGCCAACTAAGTGAATGATGTTGGTAGCCAAGGTCACTGGCTGGATGAGGAGTAGAAAGGAGGCAAATCGGAGTCAGAAGTCAAGTGTAAGGGGGTAGTGAGGGAGGATTTGCTTGGGTTTTTTTGTTTTTTCACACTCCTAGGTAACTTACTGCCCTTCCTTCCTTTCCACCCACCAGCTGCTAGGAAGGAAAAGGGAAAACTAACTAGCATCTGGTTCACAGCCTGGACTAACCTCATGCCCTCACTTTTTCTAAGGCCTTTAAAAACAATCAGTCAACCAGTTTTACGGAACACGAATCTAGGTTGAGTGGGCGATGGACAGAAGCATATGGTCTCTGTCCTGACCTGCATCTTCAGTGTATGAAATAGAGATCTGGAGATACCCTGGGTGCAGCCAGTTGTCAGGCAGTTGTGGAGTGGTTGTCCTGTTCCCTTAGTCCTCAAGGCACCCCCACACATATAAAATGAGAGGGTTCCGTGGGACATCATTTGAGAACCACCAACTTAGAGCAAAAGGGACCAAGAGCCATCATTTGCGAGAGCTTTGAAGTCAGAAATTGACCTAGAGCTGGATGGGTAATTTTAAGATTGAAACGTTCAAAGACCAGCACTGTTAACTACCAAATCTAGGTTCTGACCACCACTGAGCTTTTTTCTCTCAACAATTTGCTGGTGAGAATCTTTCTATCTATAAATTTCAACTTCACCTTCCCTCCCACTGTTAACAGCACCAGGAAAATCCAAAACTCTCACCTTTCCCCAAAATCAAGGAATTACTTCCCTTAGTTTAAAGCTGAGGAAACCAGCTCAGAAAGATTTGTGGCAGAGCAGAGATGGGATGGCTCCCCTACTGGCAGCTTCTGGCTGTGCAAGAGTTTGGTCTGATCCTTAACCAACCTTCTCATTTCAACTGAAACCCTCCCTCGAGGAGCTGAGACAGCATTTTTGACCACCTGTCCAAAGTGGGGTAAACCCTGATTTAGGGGCACAAAACTAGGTAATTTCTGGTCTTTGGGGTTAGCTTGACCATATCATGCATCTCTGGTTCCTTTTCAGCCCAGGTTCTGGGGCCCCAAGAAAGGACTAAACCCCCAGCACCTGGTCGCCAGGTCACAAACCACCATCCAGTCTTGGATGGGAGTTGCCTTGTTTGTGCAGTGACCTTGAGGTTTGGGGACCTTGAGGTCACATACCTAGGGTTTCTGCCCCAAGTCAGAGAGGGTCGGCAATGGGGCTCACTGAATTTATCCAGTTCCCAAGACTTCCTGCCCCCATAGCAGTCCTCTTAAACTTCTTTTAGGAACTCTTCCCCAAATCTGTTAGATCAGCCCTACCAGGGTCAACCCCATAAGACATGGAGGGACATGGAGGCATCTGCTAGGAATGGGGCTGTCTGGTTGGAGCCTGGCTGATGGACCTCAGATTAAATTTTGTGCCCCCCAATTCTCTCTTAGGAGCTTTGCCTGACAAAGGGAACCTGATGCATGACCCAGCCATGGATGAGGAGCTGGAACGGCTGTAAGTGTCAGGTGGGAAATGTCAGGCTGCCCCCTTGTGGGGCCAAGCCTGTCAGACATGGTAATGCCCTATCCTGGGTCACAGAGCACTTGTCCCAACACCCCCCACCAAAGGTCAGGGAAGGTTTTGGGGGATCAACAGAGGCCCGAGGTGTCCCCTCTTTGTGTCCTTGGGAATAGTCCATGGTTTCATCCAAATGCAAGAGTGAATGTGGAGGTCCTGGTCTCTGGACCACAGGCACCTCGCTGCCCTCTGGGCATCTTCCCTTCTTCAGGCTGGCCCAGATCCCAGGCCCAGGCAACTCAGTCACTGCCAGTTCAGAGGCCAGCTGCCTGCCTTCCCGGACTCCTCTCCGGGTTGGCTCTCCCTGGAGACCCCTCCATCATGCCCGCAAAGCGGATGCGGAGAGTGATGGTTCTGCTGAAGAGACAGATGAGTCTGAGACTTGAGTCTGAAGGGTCCTGTCTCTGAGCCCCTGGGACTCCCAGCCAACCTCCTCTCCCATGCCCATGCCATGCTGCCCTCTGCTGGTGGAAAAGCCAATTAACGGCCCAAGCGCAAAAGACCTGCCAGAGGGGTCCCAGTTCTCAGCCAAGCCAAGCAATGACTGTAAAAAGATAACAGCCTGCTCTCCCTGGCCTGTTGCGCTTTAGTCAGGGCCCAAATTGACAGCAGATTGAGCTGAGGCCACCAGGAAAGTCACTTGACCTTGGCCTTTTGGTGACAGTCCCTACATTATCATCATCTCACAGCAACTCCAGGGAGATACCATGAATAACCATGCAGAGCCTTGCATAGTCAAGAGTGATACCAGTGACGCAATTATTAGGATATAATGATAGTGGCCTTCTGCTGGAGTGACCACTAGCCATAAAAGGATGAAGGGTAGGCAAGAAGGTAATTTCACTTTCAAAAACTGCTTCAACTCTCCTGTGTCTTAAATATGTGAAATGAATAAAGTCCCTTGTGTCTGGTAAGTGGTGAGTCTAAAGCCACTAGACTAAGGAGGGGATGAAGGGAAGGGGCAAGTTTGGGTTTTTGATATGGAGTCCCAGATTTCTTGGCTGGACTGGGAAGTGGGGGACAGAGGGCACTCAAGCCTGGAGAGCTGCCTCAGGGAATGAGCAAAAAGGGGGTTAACCTCCTGCCCTTGACAGCAGCCTTTCAAAGGAAAGATGTTTACAACTGGATTGGGCCTTCAGGAAACAAGCTCAGAGGGTTCAAGGCCAGGTTCCCCTAGCTTTAAAAACCCTGGCCATAAAGGGTTAGCCCTGAAACCTTCTAACCAAAGTTTCATTAAACATTTGCCAACCACCAGCTCAGTGACGGCAGTAGGACTGCAGCTGTTAAGACAGTACTGAGAGACACAAGTTTCCAGCTAAGACTGGAGGAAAGTCAAGATACATGGTTTCCAACATCCTTGAATTGGATGGGGGTTGTCCTGAAAGCAAAACCCACCCAGGAATCTGAGCAGAACAGACCAGGAGTCACCACCACTGGACACATATTTTCCTGGGCTCATCCCTGCCCAGACCAGCCCCCTAGATGGTTACAGGACTGGCTTCCAAAGCCCTGCATTGCCAGGCCAGGACTGGAACTTCCAGGCCACATAGTTAGCATTCCCAGCCCACAATCATCTCCAGGCTCCATCACTGATTGTAGTATGTTTGAAAAATCCTGATGTGCATCAGAATCACTTGGGAGTTTGGTTGCAGTGCAAGATGCCAAGCTTCAGCTTAGGGGGTGCACAGAAATTGGTTCCCTAACTTTAAGGACTCCAGGTAATTCCAAAGCTGCAGATCCCCACTTTGGAAATCAATGGCTTCGAGCCCCATGGCTCCCACCCTTTCTAATCATTCATCTCCCAGAGCAGTGGTTTACGACTGTACCTTTCAGACCCCTCAGGTAGCATAGATGTTCCAGGAGCCCCCAGGGAGAAAGAGTTGCCAAGCCAGGGGTATACACACACACACAAAATCCTTTCTTCTTGGATTTCAAAGGGTTCCATTAAGGCCTTTATATTTTTAAACTCCACTGAGAAACACACCCCTGCTCACCTGTCCACACCCATATAGCTCAGTGAATGAATTAAAAGGCCAACTAATACCAGCTCTTTCCTCCACATGCAACAGAGTGGTGGGGTCAAGGCTGCATCAGACCTCGCAGCAGAACAGGGCCAAGGAGCCAGGGGCCTTTGGCTTTCAGAGAAGAGACAAACTGGAAGCCCTGGAGAGAGTGCCCTCAGCTTCAGCACCAACACCCCACCCATATCGGTGGGAGCCCAGAGAGTGAGGCAAGGGTTCTGCCCTGGGCAGGGAGGTAGGATCCAGAGAGGGCACTACTTCACTCAGACCAACCACAGCCCAGGGCCCCACCAGGGCTTTATTTCACACCACTTTGTTGTAACACAAATAGTTCAGAAACAAAGTCAAGTCCCTTTGGGGGAGGGAGTGGGACAGAGTGGTCTGTGTTGCTTGGGAGCCCAAGCCTCAAACCACAGGGGTAGAGGGGGCCCAGACTGCCAGCAGGGCAGGCGATGATGGCGCTAAGGATAACACAGTGATCCCCTGCAGGCAAGGGGTTAGGCCTGCAGCTGTGTAGGTACCCCAGGCTCTCACTAGGGTGTGGTGCTGTCCAGGCTCCCTTATGACCAGGATGATGCAGAGGAAGGTTGAGCTGCAGGAGCCTGCAACTGTCCCTCATGCCCTCTGCTTCCTTGGCCAGCATTATGCTCACAGCATCCAGAGCACAGCACAGGGCAGATAAGACCCATCACAGCTACCAAGCAGGGGAGGAAGGGACAGTCTCAGGAGAGGACAGACAGAAGGTCCTGTGGCCTGCAATGCGGGGTTTGGAAGGACACCCAGACACACCAGAGGAAAGTAATCCTCCAAGTGATCACTGCAGAAAGGGGGCCATGAGACAGGAGATGATCACTCAGGCCTCCAGTCTGATCCCAAAGGAAACCTTCAGGTACCAGGTGAAGTTTCTAGCCCTTAGTGTGACCCAGATGAAGGTCTTACCCCAACCCTGCCCTCTCCTGGCACCCAGAAGAGGCCACTGGAGCAGCCTTAGCCTCCCTCCCCTATAGCAGAAATCAGTTTTTAGACCTTCCCACTGGTTCCAGAGGCTGGTGACACAACCCCCGGGTGGCCTGGAAGGATCCTGGAGCCGGCACAGAAGCCTTCCCCTTTTCACTTTCCCTACTCAGGGACAGGCTGGATGGACCCAGAACAAACCATCCTGAAGGAACTGCCTCCCCTCACTCCCAGTGTGGCAGGACAAGTGAGCAGGAGCTTTGGGGGCAGGACTGGAAGGACAATGATCTAACACAGGGGAGGAGGATGTGATCAGAGGAGAATAAAGGGCTCAGTCTACAGGCAGAGGTCAAGGACTGGTACAGGCCCATCCCCTCATCCTAGATCCTCAAAGTCCACCCCACTCACACACCACACACATAAAGTAACAACTCCCCCCAGCTCCCACAAGGCAAGCATCCCGGGGTCAGAATCGGGGGTTTTTTGCAGCTGTCAACACCCGATGCTTGCGCCACAGAGCCTGCATCAGTAGGAACCATAGCGATCCTAGGGACAAAGGAAGAAAAAACAAAGTCAGTGTGTAACCTGCGGCTGCTTCCCAGCACACACACCCTCCCCCAACACCACCTGCAGGACTAGGGTACTCGGCAGGGGGGTGCCAATCTCACCATGACAGACTTATATTTTATTGCGACCCAGGAGAGAAGTTGTGGCCAAAACCCAAGGGGGAAGTCCGGTGTGATCTCACAGAAGGTGGGGAGGGAGGAGAGTGGTACAGGTGGAAAACTTGGAGAAGATCAGTAAAGACATGGCATCATCTAAAGGAGAGGCCCAGCCTGCTACTAGCTCAAAGAAAGGAAGCTGCCCCTCCAGGAAAAGAAAATGCTCTCTTAAGGGTTGAGGGGCTACCCAGCAGCAGTGTCCAGGTGCAGTGGAGAAGGCCAACCTCTACACACCCCTCTTTAGGCCCCTCCTACCCCAGGTCAAACAGCTCTAGCCTCACCTGCAAAGAATTCATCACACCATTGGCCAGCACAGCCATCTTCCCGGCCACAGACTTGACACCCTGCTTAAACTGGGCAATGTCAGCTGTAGGTAGCACATTCCCCAGATATACACTACCTGTAAAAGCAAGGAAAAGGGTGATCTAGAGCCCTGCAGGAAGCCCTTCCCAGCCCACAGGGCTCTCCAGCTATGCTCACAGCCCTCACTTGGTGCCTATACTATACCACCGGGGCCCTTACCTGCTCTATGAGCTCCATCCATGTCGCCAAAGAGATCTGAAGAGCTGATGGCACTACTGCCTGAGAGCTGCTGTAGCCGATATCTGGCTTCATACTGTGATGAAAAAAAGGCAAGGCCTGGGTAACGTTTGGCTGATGACCCAAGAACTCATATAGGCCAAGACACCCTGGTGCTAAAGCCCAAAGCAGTGGCAGGAAGGAAGCTCTTATTTCTACCTGCTGCCTCCAGGCTCAGGATAGAAAATTACTTACCCCAGTATCCACCTCCCGTCCAAAGAACATATCAGATGAGATGGCTTTGGCTCCTGCAAATTTCTGACATGCTTCACTGGACTCGAGGCCAGAGCTCCGGCTTTCCACTTCCCTCCAGTTTGTGACTCTGAGGAGTGGATATGAGACACCTCTGACCCTTTCCGTTACTATGAGAATATAGCATTACTGTCATATTAATATTCCATTACTATCAGAGGCCAAAAAAAGCACCTCTGGCCTTCTGGGGATGCTTATCAATGCCCTACCTGGCTGGAGCTCTGAGACTCATCAGCCACCTCCCCTGGGTGAGCCCCTCACTTATCCACATTGAAACCAAGGCACAGAGAGCTCATGTCATCTCCACTAGGGAGTGTGAAAATTTAAGGTTTGGAAGGGCCTAGGCTTCTGGCCCAAACTACTGCAGCTCCATCAAGGTCCAAGACAACATAATGTCACTACTGTTGCTCTGCTCTTAGTCACAGCTGGCTTATCACTAGGGTGACCACATGTCTTGGTTTGCCTGGGTTTATACCTCCTCTTTTACTCTAAAAAGCATTCCAGTGTGAGTAAAAAGGTGTATGGTTACTCCTACCCGGCAATGATATGCAGAGACACTGGGCTGTTTTATTTCACTCCTTCCGGTGGCTCTGTGAAGTCATTACTTATGTCCCCATTTTAAAATGGATTATTGATAGATAATTTATCAAACACTACCCAAGTTAACATGGAATAAGCTTTTTTAAAAATGAGTAAGATGGCTGCCAGAGACATATAATCCTTGAAGGGTCAGGACTGAAGCCCAAAATCAGGCCCCTCCTGCCAAAGAAACAGACTTTAAGTAGAGGTGGTTACTAGGCCTTCTGTGATGATAAAGCACAGGTCAAACCAAAGCCTGATTTCTGCAGTGTCTAACCAACTAGCCACCAGTTAGATGTGGCTATTTAAATTCATTAAATTAGAATTTCAGCTCTTCAGTTGCATTAGCCACATTTTAAGGGCTCAGTAGCCATATATTTAGTGGCTACTATACCAGACACCAGACTCTGCAGATACAGAACATTTCCATCATCACAAAAAGTTCTACCAGACAATGCTGCCCTCATCCATGCCACCTTTCTGATACAGGTCGGATGCTTGAGATGGTCACTTCTGGTTCCTTCTCCTCCATCCTGTCCACACCCCAGGTGGCATCTGCATCCCAGTGGGAACCAAAGCTTTCCCCCAGGGAAAAGGGGTTGTCCTTGTACCTAGGGTACAAGGGGAAAAGGGAAACAGAGTGGCTCAGAAAGGCTGATGAGGAAAATGGTGGACAAGTCTTTGACCCAACAACAATCTTACTTTGGGGGTCCAGAGGCAAAAGTACCAACATCTTCAAACAAGTCCAGCTGTGAGCGGGAAGATTTTGCACTCACTGGGGTTTCCTGCTCAATCACCTGCATCTCA